ACATATTGTATAAAAGTATGAATACCACAGAAAGAGAACTCCAACCCGGCTTCAGGAGGAGCCATATGACATCCGTAAAGGGACCGAGAACTAGAAGCGTTGTAACATTTAATCCAACAACGATTGGTCCAGGTGAAGAGCTGTACATTAACATCCCCAAACTAAAGTCCGACTCTTGCCTAGTTCCAGGATCGCTTGCACTACTATTTGACTTCAAAAATTCCAATACAAAGAGCCGATTTAATAATAACCTAGCTAAGTTGATAGCTAAACGTCTTCAGATTAAAGTAGCAGGTGAAACAGCTTATGACTGTTCAGGAGAGAGTTTGTACGAAATATACAAAGATCTATGGCTAACACTAGGCGACAGAAATAAGATGACTGAACAGGGTCTTGCAAGTGAGAATCTCAGGAAGTTAATATCAGGTGATGACTCAGGAGTAAAAGTAGGTGATGCCGGTAAAGTAGCAGATGGACTTCTCCACAGTGTGTACGGTTCTAAGCTTAGAAAACCAATTGATAAAATAATTGCAGACCACGGACTCTACACACCGTTCTCCATGAATAACAATCCTATGTACATCCTCACACTCCCGCAATCAGATGAAATTATGACCGCCCAGGGAGGTGAAGCTAAGGGTAATTATAAACTGGACAATCTTGAGTTAGAATACGAGACCATTGAGAATGACGCCCTTGCAAGTGAAGTATCAAGGTTGTATTGAACAGGCCGATCACTGTCCTACAAACACGTTACTCTTATGCGTACGAGTAATTGGGACAAGGATCTTACCATTGTTAATGAAAACATCAATATCCCCAGGAAGAGTATGTCAGCAATTGTTCTTCTATTTACCAGTAGAGTGAGAACTGATAGTGAAGAATATATTTACCCAAATATTGATAAAGTGAACCTGACCATTGAAGGTGTGCCTAATGCAGTTTTCTCACAGGGACTTCATAAAAATAGGTTCTTCGAAGAGGCAAAAAGATTTTTCTGCCCTATGTGTGAGAAATCCATGGCGGACGAATTTATGTCCATCAGTAAGTTCTTCAGCAATGGTTTTGCTCTAGTAATCGATCTTAGGTCAACACAAGATGATACCACTGGTGGAGGTAAGAAGATTGTTAACACACAGTCGGGAGTACTCCTGGAAATCAAAAAGAGAGCCACAACGGCTGACATTCAATGTAACATTTTTATTGTATCAGATGCTCTCCTTAACTTTGCCAATAGAGATCTATCAAGTATTCAATACTAACGGTAAAAACAGTTGTAAAAATATACAAGAAATTACATGAAACAGTGTAGACATAATATTTTTCTAGTGGGAAGTACATAGTAGCGGGAAGCAGCTGGGTGGGAAGAGGGAATGCTGCTTCAAAACTAAATGTAAAAATAACAGATAAAATAGCGTAAAAAATTTTTACATATATAATATAGAGAAGATGGAGAAATTATTCAAGAACCAGAAGTTGAACGTTAGTGTGAGAACTGAGGTACTGTTTTACGCAAAGGATGTGGCAGAATCCCTCGGATACTCAAACACAAGAAAAGCTATCAGAGACCACGTTTGGAAGCCAAATAGGGTAGTTGCGAGGGACCTTCAAAGGGTACCCAAAACGTTCCTCTTGGAAAAATGTCACCCGCAAACAATTTTACTATATGAACCAGGAATATACCAACTAATATTCAACTCGAAACTTCCAATAGCTGAGACCTTTCAGGATTGGGTGTTCAATGAAGTCCTTCCATCTATCCAAAAAACAGGCTCATATGAATTACCAGACAGAAGGTCACTACGGTACAACTAGATGATCCTCATAAATGAAACGGACCTTCATCATACAGCTGTTAGTTACATAAGAGATAATCACCCCAATGCTGTAATAGTACCCGGTCTTGGTGAGTATCAGGATACAGTGTCAAAGAGATGTGATGCTTGGAAGAAGGGCTATAAAGGTGGTCAGCCAGATCTTATTATAGAGAACCCTATGGGGAAGTACACAGGATTCGCAATTGAATTTAAGTCTCCTAAGGGCACAGGGATTACAAGTGAGAAGCAAGCATTATGGCTCGAAAGACTGAGGGAAATAGGGTACATGACCATGATATCCGACGACTTAATACAAATTTGTATCAGAATTAACGAGTACTTCTCACTTAAGAAAAAAGTTAAAACAGTAAGAGTGAAAAATGTAGTTAGCGATGTAAAGCTGTACAAACAAAAGTTCACATCACACAAGTACTAGTTTACTGTCAAGCAGATTAGAGACATCTTGCAAGTAAATTCAAGTTATCTCACCAGTTATCTCACAAGTAGATTTAAGTTATCTTGCAAGTAAATTTGAGACATCTTACAAGTAAATTTAAGTTATCTCACAAGTAGAATTCAAGATGTCTCATAAGATGAAACCCAGTTAAACCTAAGGTATCTTACAAGTAGAATGGAAGATAAACCTGAGCAAATTCAAGTACCAGTAACAAGTGAAAAGAAGAAGGACCCAAGGAGGGTAGCTGCAGGGAAACGACTAGCTGCAATCAGCAAAATAGCAAAGGAGAGAAAAAAGAAACTGGCCGAACCTAGCGAGTCACCTAGTAATGACAGTATGATTACCTACATAGGAGTAGGCATTGCACTAATATCACTAGTGCTAGCATATAAGACACATCAGAGGGAAACTAAGGAACTAGAACCTGAGTTCATCCCTAAAACTGTAGAAGTAACTAAAAAAGCTGATGAGTCCAAGTTAGATTCACTTGAGTGATACATTAAACATACTATATATTATAACAAAATGAGTAAAGAATCGAAGATGACCAGGGAAGTGTACGATGCTGTGTTACTTACAGCAGGAGCAGTTGGTATATCAATGGCATCAAAGAAACTATTAAAAGAACCATTAGGTACCCCAGAAAATGTAAAAGGAATGGTGAAGTTAGCTATTTCAGTTAGTCTTTCATCTCTACTGGTCTCTTACTTGAAAGAAAAGAAGTATCTACCAGATGATCCATTCAAAACCTAGGTAAAACTATACAATGGCGGGAGCAGTAGCAGGAGGACTCTTTAACGCATTTGCATTTGCGGGAGCAGGATACTTATTTAAAATGTTTGACAAGAATGGATACGCTGAGGAAGCTCATAGACATAACAAAGCAATGGAGAACCTAACAGCTGAAAGAGAAAAGTACCTTGAAGAAGTCACTGATAGGAGAAATAGGATTGCTCAGCTAAAGTCAGAACTAGCTGAGGCAAATAGTAATATCAAGTCAACGAACCAGTCATTAGAACTCGTTAGAAGAATCAATGAGTTAACACGTAAGGCTATGCCGAGGAAGCTGCAATTAAGTAATTACTACAAACCTAGCTCTGAGATGGAAGAATATATGGCACTATTTGGTTTAATTACAGGTGGGGTGGTTGGAGGGGCAGCTTATTTAATGCTGTAGAAAATGCCATAAAAATTTTCACATATATAGTATAGGGAAATGGAATGGTTACAGATGGCAACACCTGAGGAGATAGCACATGTAGGCAAGAAGACAAATACACTGGAAGAGTTAGAGGCTGCTGTGAGAAAGTACGCAGAGAGTAGAATAAAGATAAAACACACATACGATCCAATATGTAGTGAATGTGGGAGTAAGTCTATTGTAATGATAGATGGAGCAGATATATGCACACAGTGTGGTGCTAGTGATATGAATAACTTCACATACTACATTAGTTACAACTACAATAAGGACGACTACCTGAAAAAGAAGTCTTGTCATAATAGAGTCCGTTGGTTTGAGAGACACTTGTTCGAACATGTTGCTTCTAGGGATAGGGACATCATAAGGCAGCAGTTTAGAAGCATAGTAAGATGTATACAAAGACTTAGACTGCAAAGGGGGCGCAACATAGTTAGATACAAGTTTTACCTACTGAGGATAGCCAGCATGAACGGCATCTCCCTGAAGAACCCTCCTGAGGACATTAAGACTCAAAGGATTGTGGACATCCTTGATGATAGGTTGTATGGGAAAGTTTTTGTTGAGCTTGGATGGAAACCTGAGAAATGTGAATATTATAATAACTGGAAAAGTAAAAACACTTAAAGAAATATTAATATAATAAATTAAATAAAAGCACTTAAAGAAATATTAATATAATAAATTAAATAAAAGCACTTAAAGGAATATTAATATAATAAATTAAATAAAAGCACTTAAAGAAATATTAATATAATAAATTAAATAAAAGCACTTAAAGAAATATTAATATAATAAATTAAATAAAAGCACTTAAAGAAATATTAATATAATAAATTAATTAGAAATTAAATAAATAAAAATTAATTCAAAATTAAATTCGAAATTAATTCGAAATTAAATACCCTAATTTATTTTTACACATATAGTATATAGAAACAGTTAGAAAACATGGCGAGTTACTTAAACCTAGACGAATTCAGCGTAGAACAACTTCTGGCTCTCAATAGCATCATAGATAGCGATGATGATATGGATACGAGGGTGGAGAACATCATAGCTGACAAAAACTACAGGGTTGCACCTGATGATAAGGGCAAAGATCTCTTTGAAGGAGAAAGACAATTCGTAGACGAAGTTGACCGTGATATGGAGGTAAAGAAACCCAGACGCCTTCCCCTGAACTATAAGGGAAGAAGAGGAATTATGCCTACATGGAAATACTCTGACAGGCAAAAGGCAAAGGCCTTACTTGTAGAGGAGGCATACCAAAGCTTGCTGTCAAAGGGTGTTCAAGGATTACCACCAACGATGGGAGGTAGATGGCGCACGGATGATCCTCAGGTAAATGAGGAAATCAAGAGGATTGAGAACGAGAGGAACCCTAAGATCAAGCGTCCTAGAGGTAGACCACCAAAGGTAAAGTCTGACACTGAAGTCAAGATTCCTAAGAAGAGAGGTAGACCACCAAAGGCAAAGTCCGATGCTGAAGTCAAGATTCCTAAGAAGAGAGGTAGACCACCAAAGGCAAAGTCTGGTGTCAAGGTTAAAAGGCAAACCGTAGCAGAAAGATTCCTGAGTCAAAGGAAGGTAAAACTGTCAGTGCCTGCTGATAGCGTCATAACTCCAGCAGGTCCTGGTAAGTTCACAATTCACGTGGATCTTAATAAGAGACCCGTGAGGAAAGCTCCTGAGGTGCCTAAGGGTGTAGCTCCATGGAGACCTGTACCTAAGCCCAGAACGGTGCTTCCTAGGGAAAAACCTGTACCTAAACCTAGGATTAAGCTTCTGAGGGAAAAACCTAAACCTAGGACTAGGAAACCAGTGTCTCCTCCTAAGTTACGTAAGCCTGTAAAGATGCTGAGGGAAGTTAAGGAGCAGCCGGTAGTGATTACACCAGAGGAACATGAGATAGATCCGTTCGGTACAGACCTCGAAAAGCCATTCCACAGGAAAATCGAAACAGCCGCAAATGGAGCCGCTGTAACTTACTCGATAACTCCTCACTATATGGACCCCCTGGACCAGATGACTGCAAGTAGACAGGTAGTGAGAGGAATACTTGTGAACGAGCTGAAGAGAATGGGTGGTCTTAAGTACACGGAAACTATAAAGGTTAGAATGTCAAAAGAAATTGGTGACAGTAAAACCAAAAAGGACTCGGTCTACTTCAAATCTAAAACTGGTACTGCAACCAACTTCGAGGATATCGAAAGTACAGCTGCTCAAAACCAACTGACAATATTGTCTAGAATTGAAACCTTCCAAAACTTAGGTTCAAATTGGATCATACTCAATATTGAGAGTCACTACGTAAACATTGCAATGTACAAACCGCTGAAGGGGAGTTCGTATATAAAACTTCCAGTGGATATTAGTAATCCAAAGTGTGGGCTAATCAATATGAAGAACAATGACAACCTATGTTTCCTGTGGAGTCATGTAAGACATCTGAGACCAAAAGTCAGGAGAGCAACCACTATCACACAAAAAGACAGGGATTTCATAACAAACCTGGACTACAAGGATATAGACTTCCCCGTGAAGATAAGTGATATCGACAAAATTGAGAGGAGGAATAGTATAAACATATCCGTGTTCGGTTACAGTGGTAAGAAACAGTTCTACCCGATAAGGAACTCCAAGGCTAAATATGACGAGCATATGGAACTTCTACTCCTGGGTGATAGTGAAGGTAACAACCATTACGTTCTTATAAAGGATATTAACAGGATGTTGCACAGCGTAAGTAAACATGAACATAAACAACACTTCTGCTTACACTGTCTTCACAGCTGTGTGAGTGAAGAGGCACTGGAGAAGCATAAGGAGACATGTCTGGAGGTAAACGGAACTCAGGCTGTAAAGCTTCCCAAAGAAGGGACAAAAATCAAGTTCAAAAATCACAGGAACTCAATGCCTGTACCATTTGTGATATATGCTGATTTTGAGTCCATACTGGTACCAGAGGAGAGAAAAGTGGAGTCGAACAACCCTGAGGACAAAAGTAGTACAGACCTTTACCAAACACACAAGGCTTGTAGTTTTGGTTTGAAAACAGTCTGCCACTATGATGATAAGTACTCCGGTGAGTATAAGAGTTACCTTGGAGAGGATGCTGCATTGGTCTTCCTAAAGACTGTATTAAAAGAGTCCTTCAGGTGTAGAGAAATGGTTAACAATATATTCAAGAAAAAGATGGTAATTACACCTGAACAGGAATTCGAATTCCAAGCTGCAAGAAACTGCTCAATATGTGGTAACGATCTTGGTGAAGATAGGGTAAGAGACCATGATCATGTAACTGGCCTGTATCGTGGAGCTGCTCATAATATATGCAACCTGAAGTACAGAATTACATGGAAAATACCCGTGGTCTTCCACAACCTGAGGGGTTACGATAGTCACTTGATTATGCAGGAGATTGGCAAGTTCAGGATGGACATTAACGTTATTCCAAACAACATGGAAAAGTACATCTCATTCTCACTGGGAAAAAATATTGTCTTCATTGACTCTATACAGTTTATGGCTTCTTCACTGGAAGCACTGGTACCTGAGGACTTTAAGATAGTAGGTGATAGATGGAAGGGTGAGGACTTTAACCTGGTAACACAAAAAGGAGTATTCCCCTATGAGTTCCTAGATAGTATGAGCAAACTCAACACCGAAAGTCTACCGAGTAGGGACAATTTCTACTCTTCACTGTACGAGTCAAAGGTGAAGGAAGAGGACTACCTGAGAGCTCAAAAAGTGTGGGACCACTTCGGAATGAAAACCCTTAGGGACTACCACGACCTCTACCTGGAAACCGACGTTCTTTTGTTAGCCGACGTGTTTGAGAACTTTAGAAAAACTTGCCTGGAAAACTACAAGCTCGATCCAGCACACTACGTATCAGCACCAGGTCTAAGTTGGGACGCTTTCCTGAAACAGTCAGGTGAGGAAATAGAACTTGTAAGTGATATGGACATGTTTCAGTTCTTCGAGAAGGGTATGAGAGGCGGCACCAGTTATATTGCTCACAGACACTCCACAGCTAATAATAAGTACATGGAAACGTACGACGAGTCCTCCGAAAACAAGTACCTTATGCACCTAGATGCTAACAATTTATACGGCTGGGCGATGTCACAGTCACTCCCAAATGGAGAGTTTAAGTGGATCGAGGAACCAAGCAGTATAAACCTTGAGAACTACCTAGAGGACAGCAGTAGAGGCATGGTCCTTGAGGTCGACCTGGATTACCCAAAGGAACTTCACAACTTACACAACGGTTACCCCCTAGCACCCGAGAGTAAGGAAATTGATTCTTCCATGTTATCAAATTATGCTAAGGATATTGCCGAGAAATTCCAGCTTAAAATTGGAGGAGTAAAGAAACTCATAACTTCACTGGGTCCAAGGAAAAACTACGTCCTGCATGCACGTAATCTAAAACTATACACGGACCTTGGAATGAAACTAACAAAAATCCATAGAGCCGTCACATTTAAGCAGTCACCCTGGTTGAAGAACTATATAGACTTCAATACACAGAAAAGGTCCGTTGCCCGTAACACCTTCGAAAAGAACTTCTTCAAGCTGATGAATAATTCAATCTACGGAAAGACGATGGAAAATCTTAGGAAAAGGGTTGACGTTAAGTTGGTGTCCTCTGAAAACGACCTCCTAAAAATGACGTCATCACCGTGCTTCCAGTCACATAGGATTATGAATGATAACCTGGTAGTGGTAAAGCGAATGAAAGAAGTCCTAACGCTAAATAAGCCGTGCTACGTAGGAATGAGCATCCTGGACTTGTCAAAGACCCTAATGTACGATTTCCACTACAACACCATTAAGAAGGAGTACGGTAACAGGTCAAAGCTACTGTTTACAGATACCGACAGTCTGATGTACGAAATAAAGACCAATGACGTTTACGAGGACTTTAGAAGGATAGGTGAAGAGAAAAACTGCTGGGATAATTCTGACTACCCAAAAGATTCTCCGTACTACTCATCCCACAATAAGGTGATAGGTAAGTTTAAGGACGAAGCTGAAGGAGTACCAGTAATTGAGTTCGTTGGTTTAAGGTCAAAGATGTACTCCTACGTGAAAGAGAACGGAAAGGGTGGAATGACCGCAAAGGGTGTCAAAAAGTATGTGATCAGAAATAAGCTCACCCATGAAAACTTCAAGAACGTAATAAAGACGAAGGGAAGAATGAGACACAATATGAATACACTCAGAAGCGTGAAACATGAAATTGGAACCTATGAATTAAAGAAGGTAACTCTAAGTTGTTTTGACGATAAAAGATACCTTCTTGATGATGGAGTTACAAGCTACGCCTACGGACACCACGCAGCGGGAAAAATAGGCGTCCAGGCTGTCGCTGAAGAAAAAGTGGAACTGGACTGTGTTCCTATAAGGGTTGAAAAATATATTCCCAGACCTACTCCTAAGGTGGTGATTCCAGCTAGGAGGTGGAAGTTCAAGAAGCTACAACCGTTGAGAAAAATTGTGTCAAATATGAACCACATAGAAAATAATCTTGATATTCTTCCAAAGGAGTACAAACGAAACTTGAGAAAGTTGATGTGTCTTAAGGCGCAGTCGTTAGGAGTGCAAGCTGTGAGGAGTACGAAGAATGCATCGGGTATTGTAATTGTTGGGTACTAGAAAGAGTGTAAATGTTTGAGTAATAAATTAGGGGTAAACTCAACCGGAAAATAGTGGTCTAGAAAGTTCACGAAAACGCGAACGAAAAACTAGTGGTCTAGAACCGGCAGTTCCTATACTACTCCCATATCCAAATCCATCCCTGTATGTGCATCATTTTGAAATTGGGAAGCTCTTGAAGCTTCAAAACAATATTTTAAAGGGCAATGTTTGGTGATAGTGAGATTAGTTCAGTTATATATTATCTATATTGTTTCAGAATGATCACCTAGTACCAGAAGCCATCAATCACACTAAATGGCATCACATGTATCGGGGTTGCCCCTGCCAAGGTGAGGGGAGAGGCACAGGGGGTGACCGGCAAATTATTGTGATGCTGAAAATAAAGGAGATTCACATGTTTAGGAAGGGAATAAATTTAGCTGGCTCTCTCAAGTTCGGCCCCTTAAATTTGTGATGCTTTTCCTGGCATTGTTCATATGCCTTTAAATTATACCATTCTCATGACCATTGCTCAGCACAAGGTGTTCATTTTAAATGTACCAGTCTAATTAGCAGTTATGGGATCAAATTACTGTTCTAATCATTCTATCATTTATTTTCAATACAACAAAGGGTCATTGCATAGAATACATTAATGTATAAATTGATAAATTATCTCACTTTCGTTGATAAGTCAATGTACTAATTGAGTTGATCACAATATACTGCACTGCCACTGTTACTGAAGCTTGTTAATCCTGCCCATGCAATCAGATACCTACCAAGTCCATAACTGCACTTCTCCCTGTCTATCCTTAATATCTTGAAACAGCAGTTTTGGATACATACAGTAGTCCTAGACACTCTCCTGAATGTACTGTAATTTGGGATTCAATGCAACATCTGTGGAGATATATTGGTCAATGTATTGTAGATATCCAGACTTCAAATACAGTAGAATAATCTATTTTCTGCAAAAAGTTTCAATAATTGTTTATTTTTATTATTAACTGCTCAGCAACAATGAAAACTATTACCTAACACCCTTGAATACTTTGATAATCTTACAGTATTTAAAAATTCAAACTGCATTTGTCAAAATGTTGGATATAAATGCATCCATAAATATTGGAGTGACTAGCTCCAGAGAGGGCCTTCATATACAGTAACTCAAAGTTGCCCTGGAATTAATCCTGGATTATTAAAATAATTTAACTGGAATTTATGTCATGGTGGTGCTGCTGGAAGGCATTTGACCTGGAACATTGTTATATTGATTGGTGTTAACTGGTAACAGGAAGTGATAAGTTACAGGAAGTGATATCATTGGCAATGAATTATAGTTTGCTTGAAGTATTCTTATCTATTTTGCATAACAAACACAACCCTGATCAACTTTTCATGTCATTTGCACCATATTTTACACAGAAAAAATGTCTGTGGACTGTGGTTTTGCTTTCAATTATTCTATCAGTATGTTGTGTACATGTAAGTAGTGTACACTTGTATGTAAAATTGTAAATTATAGCTACATCTTTGCTACTCTATAATCCTCACTCAAATAGGATCAAATAAATAAGGCTAGTCAAGTTTCGATCTGATAAAACTCCGCGTAAAAATGTTTTCAATTTATTTTAAAACTCACATGATTATGTCGTTCTCACTCTATAAGGCCGATTTTTTACGTTTTTCCCCCGAAAATCCAGCAAATTACGTTTCGATTTTGATGTGTGAACTTCGAAGAAAAGCTCCCTCAGAACGCAGGAAATCGCATTTCCGAGGTCCTAGATTTCAAAATTTCCCGGGGGACGATTCCCCCGGACCCCCCTACAAATGCGAGGTTTAGTGCATCAGTCAACAAAACCACTGGATCTGCGCCTGGCTAAACCCACCAATTGTCATTCACAGTTTAACACCCCAAGACGAAATTTGCTGTTATTACATTTAAATTATAACAATTGAAAAAGAAACAGCTGCTAAGGAAGAAAATAAAGATGAAGTTGTTGAACCTCAAAAAGATAGACCAGAACCAGGCTGCTATAGTTTCTTGGACCCAACTGAACAAGCAAAAGTTCAAAAGCTAATGATTGACTATGCGAAAGGAGAAGGGAAAGAAGTTGGTGTTCAAACAGAACCAAGATTTTGTGGATGTCAGGAACAGCTTGGTAATATTAATGTCAAGTTAGACAAAATTTTATCAGTAATTAATGTGTTGCATCCGAAGCCAAAAAGTACCTTTATAGATCTTGATGATTTCCTCCTTCCCACTTCACCAACAGTGTCTCCTCCTCACCTAGTTTTGCCTCCATCTGACCCACTTTTTGACATGACCCCCCCCCCCCCACCCTCTTGTATCCACAATATCTAATGCTTACAGTGACACATTGCTTCAACCCCAAACTCCTACACCTCTGACCGTGCATCCATTACCACTGACCTCAGCACTTGCACCCGCAATTTCAGCCCCTGTAACCATGGCATCGTCTACCACATCATTGATGCAAGCTCCTTCTTCTGCAGACCCAACTCCCGTAAACATGATGCCAGTTCCTCAATCAAAAACTCCCACTCATGCATCAATGACTTCATTACCTGCATCCACGACGGCAGCTCCTCCATCTACCATCACAACTCCTGAATCCACCACCTTGTCTCCTGTATCCATTCTAGCTCCTCCTATAACAAGCCCAGATCCTGCATCCCAGACCCCATTATCCCTTGCAACTATGGTGGAAGCTCCTCTTTCTACAGGTACATGCCCTACACCGCCCTCCATAATGAGAACAGCTCCTCCACCTGCAATCCCAACACCTGCAATCATCTCTCCATTTACTAATGGCTTGCCTATCCATTCCACAACTGCTGTTTTTGAATACACTTTTAAAAGAGTGCACGTCAAAGGAAAATTAGGAGAAGAACCTTGTTTTCAAGATATTCAATAGAGATTAACTATACGGTAGTAATTGCACAGGGGTAAAAGATCCCTTGAATCAGATCGGCATATGCAAATGGTGAAAGATGCTGTTTTTAAGAAGTATTTTGTGGACTTGGGATGTGTGCTGCAAAGCTTTTTTTTGTGTGCCGCAAAGCTCACACTCACACTTAAAGAGTGGAGGTTCAATCTGAGCTTCCCTGAGTGTCAGTTACTATGCGACTACTCACCCTCAGGCTATTCAAAAACTGCACTGACACTCAAGGGGTGCTCAGATTGAACCTCCACTTTTTGAGTGTGTGTGGGAGTGAGCTTTTAGAATACAGACATAAGCATCAGACATTCCACTACACCCGTCAAAAGTTAAAAAAGTTAAAATCACATCCAAAATGCCCCCTTTTGACCCCATTGAATACGACCACATATAAAAAATGACGAATATTGATATTTTACCCATTTTTGTTTTTTTTTTGTAAAGAGATAAAAACATTTTGGATGATATTTTTTGGTTTTCAACATCACTGATTTCACTTTTATCACTGTGACACTGTCATTGTTGTCACTATTTATATAATCGCAATTGCGCATTCCACTGTAAATTTTTGGTGGCATATCTTCTTTAGTATCAATATAATCATACAATATTGTCAACCATGTTTTTATATCGGGCCAATATACTGTACTACAGTATGTGTTACACAAAGTGTAATGCAGGTGGTCTACGAGCCTGCAGTGCAGTTTTGAAAACAATATTTTAAGAATACCAGCAGCTAATATTTTATACCTTGAAAATTGCTTGAATTGGTACTTTTCTTGTATGAATACTGTGCAATATAATATGCTTGAGTTTGGCCAAAGATAGGGAGATGTTATGCCTTGAAGGTACAAAGAAATATGTGTATTTGTATCTATAAAAATATTATAAATAAGTATTTTATATGTATATAATAAGTATTTTATAGTAATTGGAAGTAATTCAGGAAAAAAATACAGTAAAAAATCACCAACCCACATTTTCCATTTTTTGGCCCCGACAACATCTTTGTGGGTCTGGGGGCATGCGGTTGCCCCCTCTCGATTTTTCAAATTTTTGTGTCTTTGAAATGGTATTTCCCGCATTTTGAGAGTAATTTTGAGCAAATGTAGTTAATATAAACATGTTTTTGTAACTATTTTTTGGCTGACCCAAATTGGGAAATTGCGACCTCAAGGTAATTGGGAAAACCATGTTTAACACGGAATTTTCGACTGTAGCTAACACCCTGAAATAATTTTGATATCTCATTTATAATTCTTCGATAAAGCACATATCCACCAATCTAAACATACATGGTACAACTCATGTACATATACAGTTTATATATACTGTACGCTATGCCCTGAAGTTAATATTCAGTAGGACCACCTTCACTGGCAACCACAACTGGTATCACCTTGTGCACATGATGAATGTATCGTCTGCATGTTTCAGGAGTAAGATTACTCCAATAGTTGAGATTCCATTAATAAGTTCCTCTTTATTTGAAGGTTTGACATTCTTTCTGATATGGTTCTTCAAGTTGGCCCAAATATTTTCGATGACATTCATGTCCTACAAAAAAAACATTTAAGATATCCTCATAACACAAGCTAGGCTTCATTAAGGGATCCTATACAGGGGCGAAACTAGCCCCTTTTAATTTGGGGGGTGTCTGCTAGAATTGCCCTATGAAAGCCGATGCTGCCCTGAGGGAAAAAATTTTTTGCCACTATTTGTCCCAAGCATGATGAGGTTGTTGAAAAAATTTTTTACGGACATTCAAAAAAAGGGTTGAAATATTTCCATAAATGCAAATGAGTCTGAATGTGCCCACTTTAGCATTTTGCTGTAATTGTAGTTCACACTACATGTAACCTGAAGTTCAGGCCCTAATTTGAAATAGGGCCTGACACAAAACCTGTCTAGACCGTGAGACGCCCACATGTTATTTTTAGACACACATGCAATATGATTGACAAGTGTTGTAGATTTCGTTACACAAAAAAATCATATTCTCATGAACATGTCCGCAGAGCATTTGCTTTTTAATTAAACTTAAAAATTCAAGGTACTTTTATATAATTAAGAGTCAGTTTCTCTATTTAACCGAACAGGCGAGCAGCAAACAAAGATTTAATTAGTCAGTTCTGTGCACGGCTTGACTGCCAAGCTTTCTCAAGGTCTCAACTTGCTGGACGCGAATATACTCTAACGACTAACGGGCTAATAACAGCAACAATTAAATTCTCAATCATACCACAAAGAAGGCGATGTAGCTCAGAAAACAACGCCGGTAGGACCTGATATTAAAAATAAGACTTTTGCCGGCGAAGCAAGTGGGCAGAACATCTTGGCTGTCAACAAGCTTTCGAATACAGGACTAGTTTGGCTGTTCTTTCAGCGTCGTGTATGTCCAAAATTCGTCAAAGATTTTGATGAAGCCCTTTCAAAATACTGTTTGTTTGATTTATTTTCTTCCATAAAGCATAAAAGGAAAGAAATTCGAAGAAATCGATAATGGAATTTGTTACGTGCGTTTGACCTTTATATTAATTCTCTCCTTGACCAAGCTATTTTTAAAACTGTTGTTTATGTGAACTTGCAACCAATCAAAATCCTTCATGATGCTGATCAACCAATCAGATTTCCCGTCCACCAGGTGGACGGGAATCCCACACTTTAGATAGGTTTTGTGTCAGGCCCTATTCTGTGATAGGTCTTGAACTTCAGGTTACACTACATGTTGCTCAACAGTGTTCAAAGCCAACTTTTTGACACAAGCCAATCTCGTTCCCCGACCCTGCAATCATCGGGAAGGAATGTAAAGCTCTGAGATAATCTGTTGCCGGAAGCCAGGAATCCTGGCTAAGATTGAACTACGCATTCCATTTCAATGGCCAATCAGATTCCTCCCTGAAACAGATTATCCTAGAGCCTCACGTTCCTTCCTGTGGATCGCAGGCTTGGGGAATGAGATTGGACACAAGCATCAGCAATCACACTGTGGTCTAATTGAAGGTCCTACATTTTATGCAGGGTTAGAGCACTGGGAAAACATATTTTCATACTCCGTAGCAAGGTTAGACCGCCTACACGCACTGTCACTTCTCACACTCACACCTGCTTGGGAACTCAAGGGCACTAAGGAAGAGATTGTATTTGCACATGTTATATTCAATTCTCTGTTCTATTTCCAATCCTTCATTTAGAAAAGAGGATATGTTTACAAACCTTCAACAGGGGACGGTTGTTCAAAGGTGGATTAGCGCTAAACCAGGTTTAAAATTTAACCTGTTTTAGTTTGCATATTTCTGCATGTTCATTTATTTCAAAATGTCAGAAAAGAAAACTTCTGTTGATCCAGACATGGTTTGTGAAGAAATATTTCCAAATTTATGAACAAGCTGTTGGGAAGTTTCCTTTGAATTTTAAGTTAACCTAGGGTTAAGCTAATCGGCTTTTGAACAACCGGCCCCAGATGTTTTGGGTGTCCTTTTCGCTTGGGTACCACCTTTTCTAAACGACACTCCCAGACAAACTGGCAATACCATCCTAGTTTTTCACGTCTAACATGACATATTGTTGAGGATGATATATCAAGGCCACATTCCTTCGACATTAATTTTCTTAATTCCGCTGAGGCAAACTCGTCATTCGCTTTCATGTTTTCGTCTATAAATGTAGATGCTCCTGATACAGTTTAGATTTCCATCCAGATTGTGGGGCATGAAAAAGACTAGCGCTCTTACGGTAGCGTTTGAGAAATTTACTCAGATGTCTGTGAAACATTGATGGCTTCCTCAACTAAAATTTTTGTTATAAGTCGTATTTTTTCCGACCAGAGGGACATGATAAGTCTTCGGGAATACAATGATAGCTTTCCCATTGTATTGCTTCCCAACCTTCTGAAAATGTTTTAAAAATGCTGCCTTGTTTCACCATTTAGTCTCGCAAAAATACTGTTTCTGATTTCTAAAATACAACATTTTCACTTGGCAAAGTCATGTTGCCTTCAGGGTGCGCCGTGAATTGCAGTCAAGCCTCACATCGCCCACACAACCGCGGCGGGCAATCCGAGATTTAACCAGGGTCAACCTGAGGTCGGCCCGCGGTTTTTGTCAACTTATTTCTAGGCAGTACTGTATGGCTAAAGGTATTACCCCAGATTATATTTCCATAGATAAGATATGGATAGACTAAAGCATAGTAAATAAGCTTAAGAGCATTTAAATTTGTAAAATGTCTTATTGTTGCTATTACTCCAGCAGATTTAATAACTTTTTTTGCTATTAAATCCATGTGTTCATTCCATGTCAAGCATTCATCAATAACAATACAAAGGAATGTGGTATTTTTTTACCTGTTTTAATTTTTCTTTGTTTATTTCTATTGTTATATCAAAATTCTGTTTTTTGTTATTTGATCTAAATAGAATAAACTTTGTTTTTAAGTATTTATAGATAGTTTATTTATATTTAACCATTCAGCTACTTTATTAAGTTCTACTTGCATAATTTCATTTAATGTTTTAAGACATTTGTTACTGTGAGATATCGTTGTGTCATCCACAAATAATATAAATGAAACTATTTTACTGTAATGCTGTATATCGTTTATATACAAAAGAAACAAGAGTGGTCCCAGAATGGAACCCTGGGGGACTCCACTTGTGATTGTCATTTCTTTTGATCTCACCTGATTGTATTTTACAATTTGTTTTCTATTTGTTAAATAATCTTGAAACCATTGTTGAGATATTCCTCTTATGCCATAATATTCTAATTTTTTAATCCGAATCCTGTGATTAATTGTGTCAAAAGCCTTGGACAAATCTAAAAATATACCAATAGTGTATTCTCCTTTATCTATTGCTCTAGTAATTTTATCTAAAAGTTCAATAATACTATAGATCAGGAGGGAAAGCCACTAGATGCACATTAATTAGAGTCACTTCACTACATCTGAAATGATGTGGTTGATGTGCCGTTTAATTAAATTTCAAATGATGCGAGCCAACAAATCATGACACTTTTGTATATAAAAAGGGCATGTGAATTGAACAAGTCACATATTATTAGCACTGATGAAGATCCGGGCTTACAGATCAAAAGCTTTCCAGTAATAAATTTATGTGGTGTTTCCACAAACAAAACTATTATATTTACAAATTAATTGGTACATTCATTTTTACATTCAGTGCAAATTGGCTACCTTCTCTACAGGCCATGCCCATCATGAGCAAGCCTGTTTGCAGGTTAAGATTTGAAATCTTAGACAAAGGCTTGTGTAGCTGTAAGGCCTGCAGAATAACCTGTCAATTACTTGGATTATAATGACAATTACTCAGTTGAAACAAATTTCTTCAAAAATATGGCACATGATCTGCCAATATTTAGTAATCCTGTTTTGCAATTATTTTCTAAATACATCAATACATCTTGGCAGTTATGGCTGATAAAAGTGACAAGAAGCTTCAAAGAATGGAATGAAGGTTTTACAAGCAGAAGCAATGGTAGTGATATAGACGTTGTGTATTTATCATTTGGATGTTTTGACTATATACACACATTTAAATACTTACACTGTGTGAAAGACAAATATAAATATAATACATTTTGTGGATAAACTGCATACCTGACATACGACATGTTATATAAAAGCAACACCGTGGAAAAACGTCTGCACATGCACCAAATTATGAAAATATGGTAGAATGACATGCACAATGAAGTCACTCCTTTTTACCGCAATTTTGAGCCTTGTTCGGAACAGCTTCTCATCAAGTTCACAATACTATTACAGGTAAGGTTGACACATGCGCGGACGTTTTTCTGCGGTGTTTATAAAAGCGTATTTGTCTGTTTTAGAATTTAATATGCTAATTAACTGATATTTATCTGCTTTCTATAAATCAATGTATGCTTGTTTGTTCGGTATGCACTGTTTTTATGTATATTTTTTATTTATATATGAAAAGTGGTCTATATCAGAAGTAGTTAAAGACTAATAATATTCAATATTGATCTGGTAAAATGATATATAAATACAATTTAGCTCCTGCCGTCTTGGAAAATTAGTCTGCAGGCCTTTCCCACCAATTTTTGCCTAGCTTTTTAAAAGGCCTGCAGAGGAGGTAGGCAAATTGGTATGTTGCAAACAGCTAATTGCATTAAAGGATTAGTGTCACATCAGGCGTCTCCGTGTCTGTGGCCTCAAACTCCTGCTGGCGTAATTTTTGTAATTTTTATCAGAAATGTACCAAACAAGGTATTTTTATTGCTATTGTATTTGAGTAAAGTGTAATCAATAACAAAAGTCTGCAATGCATGACGCCAATCCTTTATTTAAAGGTTGCAAAGTTCAGATTTGACTACCACTACCATTGACGTAACATAAACCAATCAGATGTGTTAAGTTATCAGACTAACCAATCATTAATGCAATAGGTCAGTGAAAGGTAGTGATAGTCAAACCTGAACCCAATATGAGCTCTGAAAATAATGGAAAAATCACAATTTTAAATAGGTTTAACTCATTAAGCCGCCCTGAGATTGGCAAGGCTGTAAGCCGCAATGCAACCTGGATTGACACCTTAACTTGCGGGGCATGGTTACCAAGCACATGTTTATTGGGAATGTTCATATTATACAAATTAGTACTGTTGTGGATGCATTTGAATTTTTACAATGATTGAGCTAGAATATACTAAAGTACTATATGTTATTATATATGTTAGAGAAGTGTAAACTAAAAAAACAAATTCGACTTTATTTCAAAGTCAATTATATAAAGTTGAAAATTTATAGTCTGAACCTGTAGCAGACTGATTTCAGCCGACCCTCCTGGAGCGGCGGAGAAACAGACTGCAACCAATCAACACTAATGCCGTACAGTTACGTACAGGCGCAGATCCAGCCTAAAACCCTGACCGTGGTGCACTCCAAAACCGCACATTTCCCCCCCCCCCCGGAAATTTTTTGAAATTTTAACCCCGGAAATGCCATTTCCTGAGTTCTGAGCATCGAATTCTATCATATAATTCGTCATTAATTACGTCATATTTTAGACAGCAAATAACGAAACGCACTAAATAAGTAAAATATTTAAACAACATAGCATGTTCTTCAGCGAACGTTACAACATTAGAATGTTACAAAATCACCGTACTTACATAAAACCACAACTCTGTACTGTGAACAAAGGCTGCACACATACTGTTCCTGTGTATTTCAGGTTCTTCGTAGCAAAAAATATACATTTAGGGCTGTACATCAAACTCAATCATCTTGGCGTTTCAGTTGCAATGTAGATCTTTTACGGGGTGGGTTTTTTCAGCTGCACATCGATACCAGGTGTCTTATTCTCGATCATTCGCTTAAACTGTGTAGCACGGAGAGTTGCCATTGCGTGAACATTGGATTGTTCACCATGCTGACAGTTTCTGACAGCAGAAGTACTTGGAGGAAGAGCACTGGTCATCAATCGTTGCAGCTTGCTTGCATTATGCGTGCTTTCACCACCAAAAAGAACACAAGTGACGCAAAAACCACCATTTGCCACAGCAGAGTAAGCCAACCATGGAAATTGTGATAACCATGCCAAACCGGAAACGTCTACCAATATTTTCGTGTGGAGGAAAAGAAAAATCAGACCCAGGTTTCCAATCATTGCACAGAATTTCGTACTTTTTCGAATCAGGAAGACTGGACACCAGATTTACGCAGTTGTAGATATCATCTGGCCACGAATTGGTAGAAGTTCGTTGTGTTTTGGATGTTAGATTTTTCTGAAGTAGGACCAGTGTTGGGAGTTACAGATGAAATTCCTTTACTAGTGCTGGGAAATTTGATTTCACTGTCTACAGTTTCTTGTGTGTTGCATGCTCGTTTCACAAGAAGCGCATCGATCTAAACTAATTTGTTTTCTTTTTGTACCAGTCGTCTGCTTTTTAGTAGATGTAGTCACTTGTGTAGAGGAAGGAGCAGAATAAACTTTAGTAGAAACTTTAGGAGAAACTGTAGGAGGAACTTTAGGAAGAACTGGCATGGCAAACTTCAATAAGGTTGGAAGGTGTACTTTAAAATAATGGTCTTGTGGCTGAAGCACTTTAACACTGCTTTGCACAAGGTAACAAAATGATTTTTGGTGGATGCAATTCTTCAATCAACCAAATAAGACAGTGGCATTGCAGCACAACGAAATATATGGACATACTCAATTGCACTGTCATCAAGATAATCCTGTGGATATATTGTACAATTGAATCCAAGGAATCCCAATTTTCTTTCGCTACAGTATCATTGGTGAGTGGGTAGTATTACTGAATGGCACACTCACTTACTGTGGACAAGGCAAACATGCACACCATGGATGAGAATGTGTAATTTTTTTCAATTTCCTTTGCTTATTCTAAAACTGCTGCAATTTCATTAGAATTCTCGAAAAAAGTAAGTGCTGCATCAGATACACACATGGCAA